TCCCACAATTTTCAACCGTATAGACCCATAAATAAGCCATAAAAAGCCTAGCGCGCAACCCTCACCCGCTCTCCTCTGCCGCAGATACACGTCAGGCACAAAAGTCATGCAGTTGGGTCCAGGAGGCAAAGTTAGAACCTACAAGAGTGACATCCCTTCGATAGGTTCACTGAAGGGCCTGGTTCAACTGCAGCTTTTCATATGGAAGGTTAGCTTATTGGGGTCATAGGGAGAAGTTGTGCTTGTTGTGGTTTAGATTTTTTTTTTTTTTTTTATTATTATTGTTAGTTATCATCATCGTCGTCGTCATCATCTTCATCGTCATCTTCATCGTCATCGTCATCGTCATCGTCATTATCTTCATCGCCATCATCTTCATCGCCATCATCTTCATCGAAGTTTTTTTTTTTGTTTTGTTATTTATTGTTAGTTATCATCATCATCGTCGTCATCATCTTCATCGTCATCGCCATCGTCATCGTCATCGTCATTATCTTCATCGCCATCATCTTCATCACCATCATCATCACCACCATCATCATCACCACCATCATCAATCATCATCATCACGATCATCATCACCACCATCACCCCCTCACCCCCCTCACCACCACCACTCTCACCCCCTCAACCCCCCATACCCTCACCCCCCCATACCCTCACCCCCTCACCACCACACCTCACCACCGAAAACTCCTTCCCTTCCTCCCGATAGATAGAGAGGATGGCCGCCCAAACTCCCATTGAAGATCCTTACAAGAGCCCTTACGCCCGGGAGCTCGATGGACACACCGTCGATTCCTTCGCCAGAAAACATATCACGTGCGAAGTTACTGTTCGACTCATTGATGTTGCTTGCAAGGTTGCTTTCGGTGAGTATTCGGTGTGGTTGTGGGAGGGAGAGAGGGAGAGGGAAAGGGAGGGTGAGAGAGAGGGGGAGAAAGAGAGGTGGAGAGAGAGTGAGAGAGGGAAAGGGAGGGGAAAAGGGAGGGAGAGAGAGAGAGGGAAAGGGAGAGGGAGAGGGAAAGGGAGGGAGAGAGAGATAGGGAGGGGGAGAGAGATAAGGAGAGGGAAAGGGAGGGAGAGATAGGGGGAGAGAGATGGAGAGAGAGAGAGATAGGGAGAGGGAAAGGGAAAAGAAGGGAAAGGGAGGGTGAGAGATCGAGAGAGAGAGAGAGGGAAAGGGAGGGGGAGAGATAGGGGGAAAGAGAGAGAGATAGGGAGAGGGAGAGGGAAAGGGAGGGAGAGAGAGAGAGAGATAGGGAGAGGGAAAGAGAGGGAGAGAGATGGAGAGAGAGAGAGAGGGAGAGGGAGAGGGAGAGGGAGGGAGAGATAGGGAGAGAGAGGGAGAGAGATGGAGAGAGAGATAGGGAGAGGGAAAGGGAGGGAGAGATAGGGAGAGAGAGAGCGAGAGATAAGGAGAGGGAGAGAGATGGAGAGAGAGATAGGTAGAGGGAGATGGAAAGGAAGGGAGAGATAGGGGAAGAGAGATAGGGAGGGGGAGAGGGAGAGGGAAAGGGAAAGATAAGGAGATCGAGAGATAGGGAAAGGGAGGAGGAGAAATAAGGAGATAGGAAGAGGGAAAGGGATAGTTAGGGAGAGAGAGAGTGTGAGAGGGAAAGGGAAAGGGAGGGAGAGAGAGGAATAGGAACACGGAGGGAAAGATAGGGAGAGGGAATGGGGGGGGGGAGATAGGGAGAGGGGAAGGGAGGGAGGGAGAGAGAGAGAAAGACAGAGAGAGAGAGAGAGAGAGAGAGAGAGAGAGAGAGAGAGAGAGAGAGAGAGAGAGAGAGAGAAAGACAGAGAGAGAGAGAGAGAGAGAGAGAGAAAGAGAAAGACAGAGAGAGAGAGAGAAAGAGAAAGACAGAGAGAGAGAGAGAGAGAGAGAAAGACAGAGATAGAGAGAGAAAGGGAGAGAGAGAGTGTTTATGTGTACGTGTGTTTGACTATATGACAAACACACATATACATTTTCATTGCGCCCGTGTATAAACGTGTGTACCTTTGATCCTAAATCATTTAAACTAAAACACTTATTCTTGAACAGTATTCCTTATAAAATAAACATAGAGCATACACATACCTTCCACCCAATATCTACTCTCATTCTGTATCTTTATTTATAAATTTATTTATTCATTTATTCATCATTTTATTAATATTACATAGATAGGGGAACAAATCAGATCAGAAAACATATTAGATAAATAAATCAATAAATCTTCCACTTCTTTATTTTATCTTTCTATTTAAGGAAAATGTCGTATGAAATAGATGAATGACGAGAAAATAAATCTTTATTATTTTCCCCAGGCACAGAAGCGACCAGGATCTCTGCCATTTTCTTCCTGGCTTACTCGAACGCGGCAGGGGGAGTGATGAAGGTTCTTGAAGCCAAGGAGGAAACCGCTCAGGAAGCCAGGGTTAAGGTAAGGAAGCTGGGTTTGATGTTCCTCTGTTTTTTTTTTGTTTTTTTTTTTATTATTCTCTTTATTTCTCTTTTTTTCTTTCTTTCTTTTTTTTCCTATTTTTTTCTTTGTTTTTCATTTTCTCTCGTTTCTTTTTCTTTTCTTTTTTCTCTCTCTCTCTTTTCTTTCTTTTTCTTTTTCTCTCGTTTTTTTTCTTTATCTTTTTTTCTCCATTCTTTCTCTCTTTTTTCATTTTCTTTTTTCTTTTTTTTCTTTCTTTCTTTTTCTTTTTCTCTTTTTTCTTTCTTTCTTTCTTTCGTTCTTTCTTTTTCTTTTTCTACTTCTCCCCCCTTTCCTCCTCCTCCTCCTCTTTTTCTTTTGCTCCTTCATTATCATTATTCACTCATATATATATTATCTAACCATCTACTACTATTACAGGGCGGAACCCAACAAATATCCCAACTCCTCGCCAAAAACCTGGGCGACGAAATCGTTTTCTTGAGTCACCCCGTAGTTCGCGTGGACCAAACGGGAGAAAACGTGAAAGTGACAACAGAAAACGGGGACACGGTTGAGGCTCGGCGGGCGGTCATGACGGCGCCGCCAAACATGATATTAAAGATGGCATTTTCTCCTCCTCTTCCTCCTTCTAAAAGACTCATCTACGAGAACTTACCTATCGGCCATCTTATCAAGTTTGTGGTGGTTTATGATAGGGTAGGTTTTTTATTTTTTATGATAAGGGGGGGTTTTAAAGATCCCTTATCTATTGTAAAAAAGTTTGATTATTTTTTGTCAGAAGACGATAATGATAATGATAATATAAATGAAGAAAATGAGAATGACGGCTATAATGATAACTAAAAACAACAGTGTAGATAATAACAATGAAAAATAATGATAATGATCATGATGATAATAGCAGTAGCAACAGTAAGGATAATCATTATCCACTTACATAACAATAATAGTGAAAATAATGATAATAAACTACGAGCAAATGATGAAATAAAAAAAAAATGAAATATTACAAAACAAGATGAAATATTACAAAAAAAAGATGAAATATTTAAAAAAAGATGAAATATTACAAAAAAAATGAAATATTAAAAAAAGAATAGAACTCACATTAACAACCCCTTCCCCTTTACACCCCCACCCACCCCCCTACCCTCTACCCCCTACCCCCCTACCCCCCTTCCCATAGGCCTTCTGGCGCGAAAACGGCTTCTCGGGCGAGATCGTGAGCGACGGCGGCACAGAGAGCCTTCCGGAGGGCGTGAGCCGAGGGCCCCTGAGCGTGTGCTTCGACGCCACCTCCCACAGGGGCACGCCAGCTATTGTGGGCTTTATTGCAGGCCGGCAGGAGGTCGAGTGGCAGGGAAAGACGGTGAGAGAGAGAGGGGGAGAGGAGAGATGGGGAGGAGGGGAGGGGAGAGGAGGGAGAGATGGGGAGAGAGGAGGGGGGGAGGGAAAGACGGTGAGAGAGAGGGGGGAGGGGGGGAGAGATGGGGAGGGGGGGAGGGAGAGATGGGGAGAAGAGGGGAGGGAGAGATGGGGAGAGGAGGGGGGAGGGGAGGGGGGGAGGGGAGAGGGGGAAGGTGGAGGTGTGTGTGGGGGGGGGGGTGTATTGGCAGATGAATTACATGACATTTTTGAGGAATATTCTGGTATTTTTTTAGTGTTAAGAAAACGCGATATCTATACTATTATTACTTAATCCCTTTTGTTCTTCCCTATTCCTTATCCGTTTCCCCTACACTCTCTTCTATCTCCTCTTCCTCACCCCCTTCCTCTACCCTTTCCTTCCACCTTTCCCCACTATCCTCTACCCCTTCCCCACCTATCTCCCTTCCCCACCTATCTTTCCCCCCAACCCTTTCCTTCGCCCTCTCCCCACCACCTTCCCCCCCTCCCTCCCTCCCTCTCTCTCTCCCTCACCTTCCCCCCCCCTCCCCGTCTCCTCTCCCCCTCTCTCTCTCACCCTCTCTCCCCCCCTCTCTCTCACCCTCTCTCCCCCCCTCTCTCTCACCCCAACAGATAGACGAACGAAAAGCAGCAGTTTTACAAGGTCTCGCAGCCACCCTGGGACCCGACGCCAGGCACTGCGTCTCCTACACTGAGAAGATCTGGGCCGAGGAGCCTTATATAGGAGGGTGCCCCGTGGTGTTTGGGGTACCTGGTCTGTCCTTTGCCCTGCCCCACCTGCGCTCCCCCCATGAGAGGTGGGTGAGGGAGGTGGGGGCGAGTGGGGGGGTGGGAGGTGGGGGTGGGAATGGGGAAGTGGTTGAGGGAGGTGGGGGCGAGTGGTGGGGAGGGAGGTGGGGAGAAGTGGGGGTGGGAATGGGGATGTGGGGGTGAGGTTGAGGAGTGGGAGGTGGGGAGAAGTGGGGTTGGGAGAGGGGAGGTGGGGCTGAGTGGGTGGGAGGGAGGTGGGGGCGAGTGGGTGTGAGGGAGGTGGGGTAAGTGGGTGGGTGGATGAAAGTAGTAGGGATGGGGAGAAGGATGTGGATGAAAGTATGAGGAGTGAGGGTGGAAGAGGTGGAGGAGAGAATGGGAAACGAAGTGAAAGAGGTGGGGGTGATAATG